TAAACCCAAGACCTAGTCCTCGAAAGGGAGATGTGTTACATAAAGTAAGTTTAGTTAGTAGTTGGAAGTTGACGATTTGACGATTTTATTTATTCAAATTTCCCATACAAAGTTTTTCTATTTTTTTTTATAGTTAATTCAACAGTAAAAACTACAAGATTTTTTTTTTAACATCATACAGAACTCAGGAAAATTCAAGAGATACCAAGATACTTTCATCGAAATTGTCAATTTTTCAATTCGATTTCCTAGACAAATTTTTAGTATGCAGTTTTTAGGCCCATTAAATTTTAATATAATAACGCGCAAGTTTCCATTTTCTATTTTTTGGTGCCGAGGGTATTGCGCAAGAACTAAATTCTTTTTTATATGAAAGAATGTAAGCCAAAGTACAAAACTGCTATTGACTGAACTATATATATTTTTATAAAACAGCTTGCAGAATCGGCGAACTTCGTTCCGCCAAAATTAATTATTTTTTTTTTATTGAAACATTTGGTCCAAGCTTTCGCCAGCAATTCACTTTCACGTTTGGTTTTGTGGTCGACAGAAGGCATATCCTCCATTGCCATCTTAAATTACCTGACGAAAGCGTTATACCGGGAAGAAGTCCTTGCGGCTCGATGGTGAATTGTCCTTGAATCTGTATAGTATAGTTGGTGGCAATTTACAAACTGGTGAGTATCATTGGTCCACTTTCTGTTTAGTCACCGTAAAGTAAGGACCGCAATGGTTCTGAGGGTTGATTTAAAGGGGGTAATTTGACTTTGATCCCTGGTGCCTCCGAGTTGATGATTTTTGGCAATAACTCGGCCCCAGCGCCATCTTTTTTTGTAAGAGTATTGCCCCTATCGTTACCAATACATATATATCTCGAATATGAGTCTAATCGGATCACAAATACGATTTTAAGTAATAACTCGACTCCAGCGCCACCTGGCGTTTTAAGTTGTGAAAATTGTACAGGGATCTAGTCAAACACATAAAAAAATGTCATTAAAATCGTTTCGGTCGTTTAGGAGGAGTTTACCCACCAAAATAAGTCCTTTACATACTGACACTCTGCGGCATTTTCGCCAATACAAAAAAAAAACTATAACGCAGTCATTATACGGAGAAAATGGGCAACATAATCAGCGAAAAAGTTTTAAAAAATCAACGGTAACTTATGTGGACCTCTGTAGATATGTCCAACTCTCGAGCAAGGCGCATCCACAAGCTCTCCACCACACATCCAAATCTTGAAACTCAGTTCGTATTGTTCGCCTCCCCAAATATCAAGACCCTCATCGTAGCCACCCAACTCCCAGAAAAAATCACTTGATATAGCAAATAATCCACCTGCCATAACTGGACTCTTAAATGGTTTAGTTCTGTCTTCCAAATCTTCCGGCAATAACGGTAAGCGTTTGTAATAAAACTCCCAATCGAATGCGCCACGAGCGCCTTCGTCTTGTGCTCTATACTCAAAATTACTGTGATCGATAACGTCGATAAACGGGCAAACCGAAACTCGTTTATTTATTGCTATTGGCTCCAATAGCGGTGGCATCCAATTGTAGTTAGCTTCAATATGTGAATCCAAAAATATCAGTACTTCGGCTGTGGCTCGGCGCGCACCAGCCATTCTTGCACCAATCAGTCCAGTACGTTGTTTCAAGCGCACTATTTGTACTTTAGGAAAGTTTTCAGACACATATTGCTCGAGTTGTTCGAATAAGTACTCGCGATCACTAAAATCGTCTACTAAAATTATTTCCTTTAGCAATTCAGGAGGTGAACGATTTACCACGCTGTGTACGGCGCGCATAAGGACACCCAAGTGCTCGTTGTAGAATGGAAGAATTACGCTGACTGAAGGCAACTTCGCCAAATATTTCTTTATTTGGCACCTAAAAGATAAAACAAAACACTTCCGCTTAATGCAAATATCGTTCATTACACTCACCCATTGTTTTATACTGACTTGAAATTATTAAGCTTAAAAGAAAAATACTTATGTTCTATGATAATATCAAAAATTCCACAGAATTTTCTGTAGTTAAGTTTAAGTAATTATTTAACTACACTTTAAAATAGATAAGCTAGCAGCCCTATATCACATAAATTTAATTAAAATTACTGTTGTTGGCTGATTGATCAAATAAGCTTTTACGTTTATGTAGCTTTCAAAATGGTGGGTTAGGTATACATAGAGTAATAGCAGCCAATGTCAAAGAACCAATTTTGTGGTATTAATATTTTACACATGACTGTATTTTAATGATAAAATCAAACTCACCCTTTATAGCGAATATCTGGAAGGGAACGATTTACGGAAATTGAGTCGGAAAGTAGAGCATTGAAACCATTATCCAGAGACATTTTCAGCTCCAATTCTTTCTGTGATTGGTCATTTAGCTTAGCACGCTTTCCTTGTTCGCCGAGTCCAACTCGTTTCTGATCACGCTCCATAGCCAAGTAATCATGCCAATCTTTTTTTAGATCAATTGCTGAGAATAGCTGTTGAGCCTCAAATTTCAAATGTGGTAGCTTTGGAACTTCAACTCCACTCTCTACGCTCTCTCCTAAATTATTGTAACTCAAGGATATCCAGCTTGCGATTAAAACAGAGAGAGCCAATGACATAGTCAAGAGTATTGCAACTTTCCAAGCCCATTTTATATTTTGTCGACGCATTTTGGTGTGCGTTACGAAATTTCTTAAAAACTTGGAGTTTATGTCTGAATACGTTGTCTAAACGCAAACGGTGCGAAATAACTATTCAAGTGCCAACTAAGTAGTGTAGTATCAAAAGAATTTTTAAGAGTTGGCAAGAAATAGGTGACCCACATTATTAAATGTTTGCACATATGTATTATCTTATAAATACATATAAATTTTTGCATATATTGCTCAGGTGGATTTGTAGTATAAACTATAGGGGAAAACATACTTAGCGAGCAAGTGAACTTTGCATAAACCTTGACCCATTTTTTTGTGTTCGTACCGCGAAACCTTTTACGTAAACATCATCTACATAATATCGGTAATGACACTAGCATGTGACAGTAAGAAAATATGTATATATTTATGTATTTATAAAGGTGCATAAATATTCCTTTTGTCGGCCCCCCGATTATTCTTCAGTTCCGTGGAAGTAAAGTGAACGCGAAGCACATTTCTGACAGGAGAGGAATCCCTCCTCGACGACAAAAATAATTAAATGCGCTAGAATTTTGTTGTTATTGCTGAGACATGATGTTGCTACATCAGCTGTTGATTATGTTGTTGATGCTGTAAATGTTGCTGCATTTGTACCGTATTCAATGGTTATTGTCGATTAAGAGCCTAGAACCCATTCAGTGTTAAGCGGCACAACCCCAGCAAACACAGTTTCAAACGTTTGAGAAAAATGTATTTCTCAATTTGATATCAAATGTTTTTCTCAAATGATTCTCAAATTGAAAACGAGGTTTAAATTTTACAATTGAAATTCATTTGAGGTTGATTTGAAGAAAGATGTCAAGTATCAAACGTTATAAAAATGCGCAGTTAAATCAAAAATTGTAAGAATAAAATTAAGATCAATTGAAAAACAAACAATGAATAGAAAAAATTTCAAAGAGAAAGCCCACAAATAGTGATTTTGATGTTTGCGCGGATTGAAAAAGCTGCAGCCTTTCACGACGAATTTATTATAAATTACTTTATCTTAATTGTTTCTTTTGTTATGTACATACATATGTACATCGCGAAGAAAAACTAAATATGAAATACATATACATTTCCTTTTATAAATTTTATTTCCACATTTGAAGTTCATTTGATAAATAACCTTTGAGATTGATTTGAGAGTTAACCATATTCTCAAATGGAGATCAAACTCCCCTTTTTATTGAGAAAGCTGTAATTTTCAAATCAATATCAAATCATTTTCAAACGTTTGACATTTGATAAAGGCTTTGAATTCAAATCATTCTCAAATGTATATCAAACCTAATTGTTTTCTGGGGCAGTGACTAACATTTGTGGTGTTGAACTGTTGGCTGTGGTCATAGACGTTGAGGCTTGACGGAAAAATGGACGGCTGCTGTTGCGGTAGCAGTGCCGGTAAATGAGCAGGGGGCAAATGCTTGGTTGCTTACTAAAATTGTGGTTGTGGTTGCGCAGATTCAGGAAGATGTGATATGGCAGGTTGTGGGAATTAAGGGTGCAAAATTGTCTATGTGGAGCGATTGATTAACTGGACAAGTGACTTGTTTCCGAGGCTTGCCTTTGTTGATGTATTCTGAGTTTTAGTTGTAATTGTATTGAAGGATATAAGAATTGAGTTTGTATATGTTATTGCTGCTTACAGTTGTGGCAGTTGGACTGGCAAACAAAAATTGTCACACTATTGTAACGGAAAAGACAACAGCGGAAGCATATCGAGCCAGCGCTGAAACATTTCGAAAGAGATTTGTTGCTTATTTGATCTTGGGCTTTTCGTTGGATAGATATTTGAAGTTCGTCGTTGTGTTATTAGTCCAAGTTTTATGTTTTAATAAGAAATTTTATGTTTGTAGTTTGAAGACTTTTGTTTTAATGATTTTAAAAACTTTTCATTTAGAAATTCTAATAAAATCTAAGAACAATTGAACAAATAAAAATTGTACAGATATAAAAGAGGAAGGTCTTTATACCCTACAATGAGTAAATCTTTTATTCAGAGACAACAGGATTAAGTCACTTCGTCATGGATACAACTCTTTAGTTATGTTATTTAAAATGGTAATGGAATATATGCCTTCTAACGACCAAAAAAATATAATCAGAGCAAATAAAAAATTAATTTTGAGCGAGATGAGGTTAGCCGGGTACGCTAATAACGGTAATTTACAGAAACACGAAAACTGCGATAAATCAGTAACTACTGAAGCCAATTGACTTAAAACCGATTATGGCAATAACCACTGAGCATAATATTAGATTATTAAATATTTTGGATGTTGGGCATGGCGACGCCCTCTTATTACCACAAATGTGTATCTCGGTAACCGGTTTATGAATATCTACCAAACTCGGTGCATAAGAAAGGAAGAAAAGTTTAGTTTAGTTAATTCACTATTAATCTCTAATTTCAGAGTGTCAACTATGGCTGCCGTATAAAATTTATCAAGTGTACCATATTTTTCCCAGAAATATACCAAACTTGGTTTCGTTAAAACGAAAATGGGATAATTTTAAAGGCACGTTTGTAGCTACATATATCTACTTAATTTTTGTGAAACAAAGAAGGGTGCTTGGAGAAGATTTTTTTAGTTTTGAATGCGTCATGATGTGGTATCAAACATATTTGTTATAAAAAAACCGATTCATTCCGAGATAATTCATTTATGAGCCATTCTTTCTTAAGTCGGACGGATTTCGTAAAAAAAATTATGTCGTGTCTCCGATTCGCTACTTTTGTGGGTTCTATACACGTGTTCGAGGAATTTTTTTCTTCTTTTTTTTCTTCGGAGATATGATCTGTCAAAGTTGGCATTTTTTCGTGATTCTGACTACTCATGTACTTATTCAAATCGTTATATCTCGGGTTCTGCTGATCATAGAGATTTCATCTTAACGTAATTTTAAAGCTAAGAAACGGGTTTAACATTTCTTTACATAAGATGGTCAACATTGTCCTAAAGCTAACTTAGCTATTAACAGTTGAACTTTTTGAAGGTGATTTGCATAATGAAGACCAGTAAATTAGGGATTTAAAACTATACCAAAGTAATCCTTGTTCAATTCTCTATAAAAAACGTGTTTAAAAAATGGCGTTTTTGAGGAACTATTTTTAACATATTTTTCTTTATGACGAGATGGTTTATTTTATGATAATCAACAATCTATTTATTTTATTTTATTTTGTAATATAGTCACGCCCATTTCTAGAATATTCTTTGATTGAAAAAGTTGTGAAACAAATGTTGTTAACGAAGCGATATTCTGCCGAAATCCGGAATGAAATCTGCGTTTTACTTTAGTCGTACAATTCCACGCCTATTTCAAGGGGTTTGTCGCCTGTCTACAAAAAAAAAATTATTAAAAACCAACGCGATTTTTTAGCAACTTATAACTTGAACATTATTACAATTGGAATTTAATAGGCTATCAAGCTGAATACTCAAAACATTCTTAAAAATCTTAATAAAAAGTGGAAAATCTAGCTGATACTTTGCAGATTTTTTATAATTTGTTTACAAAACAATGAGCGGCATAACGCAAGGGGTGTAACAGCAAATTTTTCAACGTCGTCAACGCACCAACGGCTCAACACAACCCCGCAGGAAATAAAATTATGTACCTTCAGCTTTACAATCGTTGCATGCGCATCTTAAATGTGTGCCCTATGAGAGCGCGTAACAAATTTTAAGACTTGTGCAACAAAAGACTTAACACAAACAGTAATTTGACATAATAATTACATACCTGATATATTTGTTAGAGAATCACTGACATAACTTGGTAGCTGATCCCCTTCAAACCACTTCAAATAATATTGGTAATTTTCCAGTACCCAACCATTATCTTCTGCTTTATATCGACTACTGAGTGGAAGATCGCCCTATCTCGGTAGCCAGTTCGAAAACGCCCTATCTAAAAGAAACTTTCCAAAAACACCTTATATAAAAATTTGGTGGAAGGACGCCGCATTTTAGAATTCGGTTCAAAAACGCCCTATCTCAGCTGCCGATTCAAAGACGTCCTATCTCAGCACATTTTCAATACATTTTGAAGTGAGATAGGGCAGTTTTGAACCGAATTCTGAGATAAAGCGTATATATATATACAGTGGCGGGCAAAAATGGATGAATGGTGTTTCGTTTTTAATATTTACAACATTTTTCAAGCTAAAATTTTTTTGATATTTTTTTATAAAAATAAGGTTCATGCTTTAATAAAAACTATATAAATCAATTAATATAAAAAGCGAAATTTTGGAAAACTGGCGTTGTATTGTATTTTTATCGCAAATGATCTTGCGCATATTTTTCAACATAAAATTCATGTTTATATGAAAAAAAGTGCAAAACGCTGTCAACAAATAAAAATTATTAAAAATCAATGTGATTTTGCAAAAAATAGGTTTTGTGGCATAGCGAATAGCCATTGGCATTAACAAATTTTTGTAAGAAATTGGAATTCAGCTTGTAAAGGCCACCGATTCCGTTAAGTAACTAATAAACGTATAATTTTTATCAGGAAACACCCATATATAAAAATCAGTTTTTATACTATGACGAAAGTATAACTACAATTTATTATGGTTTAAGGGTGTCTGGCAAGGGGTAGGAACCATGCTAATGCTTTGCAAGCAGTTCCTCGCTGGGAGCTACAGACATGGCCATCCCAGCGGGCAACTGCTCGCGGAAGAGCCCTCGCCACGGCACGTCAGGAGGCATCTTTACGAACTGACAGACGAAGTCCAGAGGTATATTAAACAACCTCTGGACCCGACAACCTACCGTCAGGCCCTCAACGGCATTCACAGGGAATCAGTCTCAAGTTATGTAGACTCCCGCCCTGTGAATGCCGTTCTAGGCACACAACCACCGGACGTGGACGGGACAGAACTTTGTCTGCCTCGGGAGACCCGCACAACAATAGCCCAACTTCGCTCTGGCTATTGCAGCAGGCTCAACAGCTACCTGAGCAGAATCAACGAGGATGTGGAGAGTCGCCACATGACTCCCGGCACCTCTTCACATGCCCTGAGAATCCCACTCAGCTAACGCCCCTGTCCCTATGGGCAGCCCCTGTGGAAGTCGCACACTTCCTGGGCCTCCCCTTAGCTGAAATAGACGACAACGATGATGGATGAACCGTCCCGAACGGGGCTTGGTAGCCGCTACAACAACAACAACAACCATGCTAAGTCTCTGGCAATGAACGACGTAGTTTCTAATATTATTACGAATAAAATATATAAAAACTTACCTTTATACTATAACGAATTTGAGGTGCTCTTTTATACACCTTTACTAACTGCTACCTGCCAAAGCCACCACTATCCAAATTTCATAGTCTCAGTTCGTTATTACCTATGCTGGGGGCATACATAGAGGAGCTTTCAGCCTTTATAAAATAACGAGGGTCTGGCCGTCGCGGGCTCTTGCTCTATTATGAAACTTAGTATTCAGGCGTTTTCGTAGTCACTGATTACGAAGTTTATAAATATTGTTTTCAAATTTCAAAAAGGCGGATCCAATATGGATGAGGAATTTTTTCCAATTACGGATTGTAATAATAAGACTTGGTATGCAATGGTTTGCGGTGTTACAAACTGGCTAGTTACCATGACAGAAGTTGGCATTTCATTCTTATTAATAAATAGTAGTTGGATTAGTATGGATATCTAGTAAGCCGTCAGTTAAGTAATTGTAATGTTTAATAAAATACCAGTTTTTATTTAAAAGGTGTCGAAATTTGTATATTAGCTTGAGTTGCAAAAGAAGTTCCGCATTTGAATTTATAAAATTTAATATCGATTTCGAAATCAGTGACGACGAAAACCCCTGGATACAAATTTTATGGCAATATGTAATTTTTGTAAAGTCGTCCTCCATATACCATTTTGATTCATATCATATTCGTTATCAGTCACCTCGAAAATACCTGTATACCGAGCTTCATTGCAACCTACATATTTTTTTTTTAAATCGTCCGCCATATTGAATCCGCCATTTTGAATTTTGAAAATTTATTTGGATAAGCGATGAAATCTGTCAAACACATATGAAGTAAACATTTTTGTCGTCATATAGTCGATTCGTCCCTATGTGCGACGCTGTTATTATTTTCTTCCATACAGGTGGCGTAGGACTGTATACTAGATTTTTTATTAAAACGAATAAGCAAATTTGTTTAAAAATTTAATTTTTATCGAAGGATTTAAACGGAGAATCTATTGTTGGTCCTTTGGAAACAGGTTTGTTGTGGGGTGTTACACTTAAATACTTTCGCATTTATTTAAAATATTTTAATTTAGTCAAGAAAAACAAATAATAGCATCATTCGAGCATTTAAGTATTTACATAAATGTATTTTTATATTGTCAAAATTTAAAAAGTATTGTGCGTTCTTATGACACCTCAGGCATACATAAATACTAAAGGTCCACAAAGAATCTTGGAAAAAAGATATATGGGGCGATTCACGTCAAATGTGCCAAGCGCGCTAAGCGGTGCAAAACAAGCTTCTTTTCGAATAGCTGGAAAGCAGACAAAAACCGAGAAAAATAATTCGAAAAGCGTTTTACAGCGCACTATACAAGTTGGCGGCGTTGCGTCGCGTCATTTCGGCTCCGCTTGCTTGCGCGAATTTACACATCAATCTGTGATAGCAAATTTTAACGAAATTGTCATTTAAACCCGCTATATCTCATTTGTGTATCGATCGATAAGAAATTTTCACACAATAAACTACAAATTATTCCAAAGAATTTAAGTTTAACATCACTTCTAAATACTCAGTAGACACAAGACTACGGGTTTTTATACTTTTTTATGAGAATTGAGAAGATGGTTTTTTTTAAGTTTGAAATTATTTTTTTGTTTTAAAACAGTATCATAAATTACTATCTAGGGAAGTTTATGCAAAAGTTTCAGAATTAAAAATCAAGTAGTTGCAAAGTTATAACAACATTATTATGACCCGCACGTTTAGCAAAAAGTCCCTTTTTTATTAATGATTTCTAGGAAAAAAATACCTTATTGCGATAACTTAAAACAATATTAAAAAGAAAAATTAACAAATAAATTTTCGTTCAAAATTTTCACCATGAAATTGGGAACCATCGTATAGCCCGTACAAAAATCTATAGAAATCTTAGTTTTTGAATTATTTTTCCCATTTTTTGCCTGCTTCCCTGCCAGTCGAAATGTAGCTGGTTTTGCACCGCTTAGCGCGCTTGGGACATTTGACGTGAATCGCCTCATATATGTTCATAAGTACTTATTTTTAAGTTCTAACCCTTATTTTATACAGTTGGTATTATAATATTGGCTAAGTAAGAGATTAATTAGATTAGATTTTTATATTTACACATAAATGAGTAGATATGCAACTGTAAAATATTCATATCAACTTTTTTAACTTACACTATGACTGATTTACAGCAGGAAATTTTATTTCAAAGTACCTTTAAGGTATTTCTTATACATATTAGGCTCCAAAATGGCAAGATAAGACTTATTTTCAGACTACAAGTTTTTTGGTTCCTGTTGAGAAAACATGTCCAATGCAGTATTATTGACGTTACCAAAGTTCCATTTCATATAAGGGTTTTCCGAATCGCATCGGTTAACGTAAATAGTTCTCTTGCTTGGCTGAGCTTCCAAGCAACGACTACTGTCTTTCCCCGCCACGAGCCATTTCTTATGGCGGTCATAAAACCAAAATTGATTTCCACCCTGACCGTGGCAATCCCACAGCCATACGGGTGCATTCGGTGGCTGTTGTTGTACGTCTAAGCAATCCATTTTGCGACGCAACCGCAAGTCTTTATGCCAGCTTAAAGCCCAATTTTGATTTCTTTGTGGCTGTTTAAGATTAGGTGCACAGGGATAAAGTCCAATTTTTGAATGTCTTGGTTTGCCTAACGTGTCAATACAGAGTGTCGGCTCTCCCTCGCTTTGTATGGCACCATACGCGTAGTCAGATGGCTCTACTGGCGGATACTTCTTAGTCAGGTCAAATGCTACGTTCTCCATAAACCATTTAAAAGATTTACAGTTTAATTTTTCGCGTATAGCTTTCTGCTTGGTTAAATCACCAGGATCAATGCCCTCATACACTCCCTGTCCGTGTTCATATAGGTATACTTTGTACTCGTCCATCCAGACCTCTGCCACACGTTTGTAGTTCTAAGAAAAAATAAAAGTGAATAAAATTCAAATGGGTTCCAATAAACTTACTTTATGTAGATAATCCCCGTTTCGGGGGCTGGGCTTTGAATTTCGTGGACCTCTGTAGATATGTCCAACTCTCGAGCAAGGCGCATCCACAAGCTCTCCACCACACATCCAAATCTTGAAACTCAGTTCGTATTGTTCGCCTCCCCAAATATCAAGACCCTCATCGTAGCCACCCAACTCCCAGAAAAAATCACTTGATATAGCAAATAATCCACCTGCCATAACTGGACTCTTAAATGGTTTAGTTCTGTCTTCCAAATCTTCCGGCAATAACGGTAAGCGTTTGTAATAAAACTCCCAATCAAATGCGCCACGAGCGCCTTCGTCTTGTGCTCTATACTCAAAATTACTGTGATCGATAACGTCGATAAACGGGCAAACCGAAACTCGTTTATTTATTGCTATTGGCTCCAATAGCGGTGGCAGCCAATTGTAGTTAGCTTCAATATGTGAATCCAAAAATATCAGTACTTCGGCTGTGGCTCGGCGCGCACCAGCCATTCTTGCACCAATCAGTCCAGTACGTT